TGACCATTGTTGGTAAAGCATCTTAGGGGGTAATAAGGAGGCACCTATAGGAGGCACCTATAATTGTTGGTGAGGGATAAGAAGCCCTATAGTGAGGACAGAGAACTAGAAAAGAAGCTTGAAAAATTACTGCATATAATGATATCCTATTCTAATTTGTCTAGACTGTGACTTGGAAATAGTCATTGAATTGCACATATAAATCCCAACATGTATGGTAGATGTAGTATTCCCTCAGAGTTACTCAAAGACACAATCAAAAAATAAAATTAAAATCTCTTTATAACCATTTTGCATTACCTTCTCTTTAGGGTGGAATAATTTGATGCCTTTGTGCCAGAAGCATGGGGACTGAAGAGTAGAGTTTGGGAGCCACGTACATTATAATTATGCTTTTTATCCCTTGCTCAGTATTTGCAAAAGATTTCTGCAGAAATAACCACAAAAAATTGAAATCAGGGAAAATTAAAATTGCCCCATAATGCTAATTAATGTAACACTCCAACAATAGCTCTTAAAAAAACACTTTTGTCATCATGTTACTTCTTTGCACACTGATTAATATATATATATATCATTGATTTTCATTGCATCATAGACTCCACAAATGTATTTTGTTTACTTCAAAATATTTATTCATTATTTAGTTCTTTTAGTATGGCCAACTTCATGCATATTTTCTGCACCTCCCTCTTTGCCCTAAGACCAGATTATTATAATAATATTAGTTTTAAAACTTCTAAAGTGCTCACTGTGAGCCTGGGACAGTGCAAAGAGCTTCACGTGTATTATGATTCTTTGAAACTGCATTATGTGGAATAGGTTCTATTATTATCTCATTCACATCAATGACTGATTTACCCAAATGATCCATATAGTAATGGATGCATCCAGGACTGCTCCTAGTTTGACTATAAACCCCATGATCTTAATTCTTTGGCTTCACAATGGTGTCAAAAGGTGAGGACTTTTTTATTGCTCTTTAATAGGTTTTATAGGATTGTGTTCTAAAGGCTTGGTGCCACTTTTCAGTGGCCTAAGAGCCACTGTGTTTTCTCTAGTACTTAGTACCCTCAGTTGGTGTTATTGTTGTTTTATATAAAAGGGGTAAACTACAGAGCCTTTTTTTCTTCCCCTTTTTAATTTTTTTTTTACCAATAAACTGAAAATATTTGTTACCTAATTGAAGTACTTGTTTTGTGAACTTACTCTTCCTGCGTTTCTCTCATTTATCTGTTAGGATCTTAGTGTTTTCCTTATCTGCTGTATGATCTCTTGTTTAAGAATTTAAATCATTTATCCATAGCCTGTAGTCTTGGTTCTCTGATCTAGTATCTTGGAGAATTTCTTCCCTAGAGTTATAATCACCTTACTTTGGTAGGAGGGAGGTTATCTTACTTACATTGACACACTTCATGCATATATTGATCAACTCTGTGTTAAGTCCTGGCTAAAGTAATTTTATTTGAATCTTTTTTGGTCTGGAAAGCTTCTGTTATCATATTTTAATCTTCCGAAGGACAAATCGAAATATCTTGTTGAAACAAAGATGCACAGTTTTTTTTTTTTTTTTTTTTTATTATAAGCCTGGAAGAGCTAAACTATTTTAAACTTGGCTAATAATGATTTTGTGATAGCTGCATGAAGTTACTTGCAGGCTTCCAGGTGCTGCAGACTGAAGAGGATGCAGATGTGGCCTGTGTGGAGCCATCGCCCACAGAAGTTAGATCGGCCGCTCTTTCTAGCACATTTTGGTTTCTATTTCTAAATTATCTCCGAGGCCTGTAAGCATTTTCAACCTGTACTTCACGTATTTATTGATTAAGGAAAGAGCATGTATACCATCTGGTGCTGAGGTGTTACTGTGACAGCATCCTCAGAGTTTATTTTAAAAGACTTATTTGGGGGGTTACTCTTACACTTTCGATAGTCCTAGTAAAGGAACTTCAGTTTTAATCTTCTTAATAATGCATAGAATGCTGGGATCGCTACTAAATCCTCAGAAAAAAATATTTTATGGAATTGATTCTTCAAAAAATTACATTGACCCTTCTGTATTTATATGAGTCGCTCTGAATATAATCAGCTATTTAGTTATATTATAAATGGAAATACTTGGTATGATAATATTATATGGATCATGAAAAAAACAATTCCTCTGAGATAATAAGAATCTAGTCCATCACTTTGATTATGATATTACTGACTAAGCCTCCACTTTTCTCCCAAAATGTGTGATATGCCAGATCCTGATCTAAGTGAATATATATATTCTCTCACTTCATTTTCACAAAACTGTCGAGATAGGATCTGTTATTATTCCTATTTTATAGCTGTCAACTGAAATACGAAGAGATTAACTAATCTACCCAAGCTAATTTATTTGTGCCATCTTAAAACAAGTCAGACACTCTCAGTGCAAAATCTAAAGCAATGACTCATAAGAATATAGAAGTACAAGTGCTTGATTTTACATGATTTCATATTTTTGATTAAAGTTTATTAAAACTTTAAATTAAAATTCTAGTGATAGGTAAGGTGATTTAAGTTCTTCCAGACTAAAATTTGTGGATTGAGTGTTACAGTGAATAGCATGTGTATGTGTGTGTGTGTGTGTGTGTATACTAAGATGTAGGATAGAAACCTTATTATAAATTTTCAAATTAGGACGACTGAAACAATATTATTTTTAGGATCATTAGTGTGGCTTTTGTCTCAGGACACTGGCTTAATATTAAATCCTGTTAGGTAATGGCAAGCCTGCCTAAAGACAGCTCTACGTGAGTTTATAAACTGTGTATAGTTTACAACTAGAAGTATGTTTGTACTTTATTAGGAGATCTCATCATCCTTTGTTTTTTTAATCATTAAAAAGTAATCAGATACTTTTGTCAACAATTATTATTTATTAATTATTTATTGAGTTGGAACTGTGCTGTTTGAAATTAACACATATATGCAAACTTTCCACATTAATAACTATCAGTAAAATGAGAAAATTGTGCCATAGTTAATACCAATTACAGTAAAACGCTGACTACTTATGGATGCCATTCATTTTGTTTAAGCTGTGAAGAAAAAGAAAAGATCAAAGAACATCCTCATCTTAGGGAACTAATAGTCTAAGAAAAGAGGAAGGCGAATGTTCTTTAAGGGCAGATAGTAAATGTTTTAGGGCCCTACATTGTCTGTCATAACTACTCAACTGTTTCATAACAGCACTAAAAAAGCCACACACAAGTAATGAGTATGGCTGTGTTCCAACAATACCCTATTTACAAAAATAAGTGGTAGGCTAGATTTGGTCCAAGGACTGTAGTTGGGCAACCCTTAATCTGAGTGCTGATACAAACAGAAACAGGAAAGTTTATTTATATAAGAGATCAGTACGTGTTTAAGACATTAAGGAAATAAATATAATTATAAAGAAATATAGTAAGATCTGCCAAAGTATTTCACAGATGCTTTAACTACTCTTTAAGTGTTTTAATATTTTGATATACCTACATTATCTCTACAGTGAAATAATTTTAAGGCATATTTAAAAGATTTTATTTATTTATTTGAGAGAGAGAGAGAGAGAGAGTGAGGAGCTGCAGAGGGAGAGGGGAGAACCAGTCTCCCCTCTGTGCATGGAGCCCGAGGTAGTGCTAGATCCCAGGACCCTGGGATCATGACCTGAGCCGAAGGCAGACGCTCAACCAACTGAGCCACCCAGGCACTCCTTAAAAATAGATTATAATAAATAGTCAAATAGGAAATAAATGTCACAGTGGCCGTTTATATTTACTAGGATTCCACTTTAGTGACAGCCAAATTCCCAGATAAGTAGTCCTAAAAATTAAAACATCATCAGTTAAAAATATATATATATATATATATATATATATATTCTCTCTCTATATATATTGAATATTCCCTACTTTTCCTTTGAAAAAGACCCTTTGGAATTTTTGGAATTAGATTTGGAAATACTTGTCTACGTTTGTTAGCATTTCCAAATTTGTGGTATGTTTATATTACACTTTCCTCTCCTTATTTGTTATAAAATAGAGTAGATACATTTCAAATAATTACAGTTCAAAATAGACAGATTTTAGACAAAACCCTAGGCCTGCTGGTTTATGTATCATTGCTGAGCTCATTTTGCAGTTCTCTTGAAATCACTAGAAGCAATATTCATAAAATATACTAGCAAGTGAATGCATTGAAGCACTAAATAACTTCTATGTTATATTCTGCCATCAGTTTATGTGGTTTCTAATGATAAAGTGCATTTTAGTAAGCAACTTACTTGGTATTTTCTGGATTTTTTATGAATATGTGGAAAATTTGAAAGAATCCTAAGTGTTGTAATACCCAGGAAAGTGCATGTATTGTATATAGCTTGCATTTAAATATAATAGCTCTACAAATATATATTTGGAGATGCATTTTTTAAGTCTGAATATGTAAATTTAAATTGGTAGTTTCCCATTGGTGATTGGAGAAGTCATGTAAGCGTAACATTTTCAATAGTTTGTGATAAATAATGTCACTGGCACTGGCATACGAAATCAGTGGGTCAAATTAGCAGGACATTGTTCTCCCTCCTAATTTGTAGGCTCTATGCAAACATGTATTTAAAGAACAATTTAGCACGTCCTCTGAATATAAATTTTGCAGGAATTTCCGAGGAAAGATATATTTAAATGGGCTTACATCTTTATTTGTATGTCTATATTAATTGCATAGTCAAATGCATTGGCTCATTCTATTTCCTACTGAATAAACATTTTAAGTAAAATAAAGATAACTATTTAATATAGCTCTGTATTTCTTAAGTCCATAAAATGCTTTTTAATTTGAAAGGCATTGTGGAAGAAATTTAATTGTAATGCATTTAGGGATTTTGCTTTTGAAAAGCAAAACAGACACCTGTCTAAATTCATAGTGTCTTTATGCTATATTGAGGGAGTGGGATGTCTTCCTTATCTTGGGCTCTCTTGTTTGCTTTTCAGTTGCTGCGAGTGTGGCTGTGGAAGGGCTTCTTCCCTGTGCGCTGTTGCCCATCCAAGCCTAATATGGTTAGTGTTCCCCTCCCGCTTTCACTCCTATGTAATGTCCCACCTATATGTATTATCGTCAGCATTCCTTTTTTATTTTTCTCCATTTGTGTACATTTTAACAGTTAGTGCACCAGTTGTGCCTAAAAGAAGAGTAGGTTGAAACTGATTTCCAAAGGGGAATCTGAACAAGTCATTGGATAACGGATAATTTCAAATAAAATATACACATAGCACATCATCCTTATGTCAAGCATTCATACTTCTCTTCCAGAGCTTTTACTGTGGTCCTGATTTAAACCAGAAGTTGTAAGATTGGAGCATCTGTTTTACATTTAACATGTTGCTGTGTTTGTTGTTCCATTAAGATTAAAATCATATCATATATGGAAGTGGAATGCTAATTCTTGCTGAAATCCTGCTTCAAGGTGAAATCACCATTTCTCTCTCCCAGAACCATGGAATGACCATAACTTAACTGGGATCTTCTATTTTTTTGTAATCATTGTGTATACATGTGGCATTGGAGAATAAAACCACATGTAATTTTAAATGGTTTATTTAATATTTTAAGTTTGAATTATAGTCCAGATGTTAGATATTAAAAGTGGTATTTCTAACTTGATACTAGTGAAGTAAAAAATATGCACATTTTGGGGATCAGTGTCCAAATGCAATAGTCTTAATTACTTAGAAATGCAAATCCTAAATATATATCTGGGTTATAGCTATAAAGCTCTAGGCTAGGAGGAAAGACCAAAGACCTCTATCTACAGATTTAGAGAGACTCCTACACAATAATGAGCTATCTTGTAAAAAGTGAAATAATCTAGATAATTTCTGCCCAGATTAAAGAGTCTAAATCCCTGCACAATTGTATTGAGCAGTGATCTGTAGTCAAAATTTGCCAGGAAGAGAGATTCTGAAATGCATTTTAGAGAAGTATAGGGTTTCCTTGGGGTACTTTAAATTGTAACTTGCATTCTCTAGGTGTAAATTAATTTTTGTTGATTAAAAAAACTGCTGTGAATATGTGCGCACACATGTGTGCATGTGAGAAATGGTGGAATGGATACCAGTGATCTTATGAGAATGAGAGAAAGTAACAAGCAGATTGATAGAACTCAGAGATCTTTTTTTCAGTCTTTTGAAATTTTTGTACTTGAAAAAAGTTTGAAGTTAATATGGAAGCACAGATCTGTTTCACATGATTTAACTTGCTCTGAGAATTCTTTTATGAGCATGGGGTTTTGGTGACAAACCAAAAGAACCTGAAATCTGGCAATGGCTAAAGAATAACATAAATAGCTTTACATTGTGATTTTTTTTTTTACATTGTGATTTTTTTTTAACCACTCTACGAAAAGCTAAAAACAAAAAAAAATAGTTGCTGAACTGTTCACGCTACTGAGTCTTGAGTATAGTTGTTATAAGAGATATATCATCACTGATGTAGAATAAGCAGAATTTACATCTTGGCAAAAAAGATCGACATCCAGGCCTACCTTGAAGTAAATCTCAAATATAACCTTAACGAGAGTATAAAAAATTATGAAGACATGACTTAGAAAGTATTGGCAAAAACAATCTTTAGCTAGATTTTAAATGCTTGATTTTAAAAATGGTATCTTTTATATGCAAATAATGCATCATGGAACACTACGTCAAAAACTAATGAGGTACTGTATGGTGACTAACATAACATAATAAAAAATAAATAAATAAAATAAAATAAAAACAGTATCTTTTTCCATTATACAGTTGGTTCCAGGGAGTTTAGGAAATAAATAAAAGAAGAAAAGTGGAAAGGCAGAATTCTTCCTTCACAAAGAACACATCAGAAAACCTGATAACAGAAACGTTTTTCTAATATTTTTATTCAAATAACATTAGTAATTGTGGAGGCAGTGAGTGTATTTGTGTGTGTGTGTGCACATGTGCACACACACACACACACTGAATGAATGAATGAATGAATGAATGAATGAATGAATGAATGAATGATTTAACCACAAATGTGGTTAGATGCCTAATAAAATGCTAACAGTTTTCGTGGAAAAATTTATGGAAGATCCAGAATTTCTTTAATTCATTCTTAGTAAAACAAAACAAAATAAAGCAGAAGAAAGAAATTTTAATTGATTTTACATAAACTGTAAGAGAGTTATCTAAAATTATTACTGAGAAAGAATGGAAGCTTAAGATGTTTTTATTGTTATGTTTTCTGAAATTCTGTCTCGTAATGGAATGTCAAGTCACTACGAGGTTTCAGTTAAAAATACTATCTGTTTAGATTAAAGCATTGATGGAAAACAACATTTTATAGTGGAAATTAAGGGCTGAGAAGAATAATTTTCCTAGTACAGTCAGTACTGAAATACTGAAAATATTGAAATACTGAAAAATCTTGACCTGAAATCTTGTCATCTAATTTCATGCATATTCATATCAGTATGAGTCAATTACCACAAAAATATTTTCCAATGGAACATTCTATCATCATCATTTGTGAACAGACATATTTACAATTATAGAGCAAAGGTTGTTAGACATTTTGAGATTTTAAAATCTCATTATTTTTCATTTCTAGAAAAACCATTCATGTATGGTTGGCTTTGACCTTAATGTAATGCAATGCATTACATTACAATGTAATTAAAATTGCCCACTGTAAATATACTGGCTTTTAAAAGTACCTTGACATACCTTGTGGAAATCTCAGGGTCTGAAAAGCATAATCTTGAAACCACTGATTGAGATCTTTGATCCTGCAGTTCAACTATATTAAAGCTTCTTCAATTCTCCAGAGTTGTGAGTTTTGCTGTGTTATGTCTCTCACCAGAAAACCATGCTCCATTCTTTCTCAAGTGTATGGTGTACCATTTATAAGATGACATTGATAATTAGATGTTGCCACCTTTGATCTCAAATTATTTTTCATCACTCTAGTTGCCCACTTTGTGTGAAATCTGTACAGTTATATATAATGTTAATATTTTAAATATTCTTTCTTCTTTGACTTCAATCTATCCAATAATAGAAAATATTTCTGTAATATTTATGAATGAAACCTAGAGGCCTAGATTTTAGGTAGCCAAGTTTGCCTACATTTTTAGCAGAGGTATTTTTTATTGGCGATCTTTGACTTTATGCCATCATAACTGTCTTGAGATCCTAATTATTATTTCACTTCTCAAAAGAAATCTATTTTTATAAATATCCAGTGTTGAATGGATTGTTTTTAATGTAAATAAAACATTAATGTGTGTAGTTTCTAAAAACATTTATCTCTTAATATTCATTTGTGTTTATGTTTACAAAAAACAAAATATGTTTATAACATAATATTTATTATAAGTCCATCTGAAAGATCCCATGGTCCCCAAATAGCTTTTTCTTGTATTTCTTAAATTCAAACTTATGTCAGACTATTTTCTTCATTCATTAATTTTCATGCTTTTCAAGTGTTTTCTTATCACTTGCTACTTTTTCTGAAGTGTTCAAGTGGCAAAGGAAATAGAGTTCTCTATTCTGAAAACAGAGGTATTAAACGTTCATTTACCTCTCCTGTGACTTTTAGGAAATCAACCTCACTTTTTAGAGATTTTTAAAAATATTATTAATCAGAGATATGAGGGAAAAACTCTAGCTTCTGTCATAATGCAGAGGTTAAGAATAAAACCAAAACAACTTTCTCTGACCAAAAAGATCACAAATTATATTGAAACATTATCTTGGGCCACCTGGGTGGCTCAGGCAGTTAAGCATCTGACTCTTGATTTCAGCTTGGGTCTTGATCTTAGGTCTTGATTTCAGGGTCCTGAGTTCAAGCCCCACATTGGGCTCCATTCTGGGTGTGGAGCCTACTTAAAAATCAAAAACAAAAACAAACAAAAAACCATTATCTAAATGTCTCAATGAACTATTTTTCTTTTTCTATATTAAGTGAACATTTCTTAAAATTTGAAGTGAGTAAATTTTTATTTCTACATATATACAACAGAGATTATTTCATTCATCTTCACATTTCTGCCAGGTAGGTATGTGGAAGTACTATTCCATTTTATAGATTTAAGAGAGAGACATAGAATATAAAATTATCCCTTATAATTCTAAACCCCCATTTAAAGTGCTCATAGTAGGCAGATGTAAGCCTTGCCTACAATATATAGAGAATATATTAAATTCCAATTGAAGGCTTGCTATGTAAAATACAACAATGAACTGCTCCCAAATCCCTTTTTATAATACTTGTGGAACCTCAAGTAGGAGATATTATAGAAGATATTAAGTGGACCTACTCTAATGGAGAAATCCAATAGTCATATTCACGAAATAGTTTAAAAATTAATAGGATATTACCTACTCTTGCATTAGAACAAAATCTATTGAAAACAGGGAGATGGTCTTCACATGTCATACTTTACAAAATGTGTTTTTATATCAAAATTCTAAGTCAATTAAAATTTAACTCAATGTTGAAAAGTCTACAATTCATCTTTGAGTATTTGGAAGTGTTTAAGTCTTCCTATTGCTAATTCTAAAATGATCTGAAGAGTTCATTAATGAAAAACTTACCAATTCATATGTACTATACTATTTTGGAAGCTGTTATTTCAAAGGTATTTTTTTTTCTTTGTCTTTTAGAATATGGACATTAAAAATGGTATGTAAGACATAAAATAAGAAATAAGTTAGTGTCTCATATTCCCTTTAATCATAGAGTGGTTAGTATCCTGACAGAATGTGAGATGGGAACTTTGCAAGCTATGCCTTCATTTTGTGTGGTATAATCACTCCATTCCCATATCCCAAAGAAAGTGTGATTTTCAACATGAATATATTTCTCTTGAGAAGTATGCTTGAGAATTTTCAGTAAACAATAATAGATCATTTTTTGTAGAACTTAAACCTATCTATGAGGAACTCAAAAATCATAGTACCCTAGAATATGAATGAGGAATATATGAATGAGAGTCAAGGTCCTGCAAACAATACAGCCTAAATATCCACAATCTCATTTCACTACATTTTTCACTCACATTCTTATTGAAGAATATCATCCTATAAAACAAAACTTAATCTATTTCCAGTATTAATTAGATATATTAATAAGCTTGTGTTCATATGCTTCTTTATTTTATGAGGCTGAATTAGCTGAGTTTTCATTAAAACTACTTTTGTTTAATTGGAGAGAATCCTGAAGTGAAAAAGTCAAACTATTTCCTCAAAAGCTGTAACTTATGCTTTTTAAGATGCTAGCAATAAAAATTTTTTTTAAAGATTTTATTTATTTATTTGAGAGAGAGAATGAGATAGAGAGAGAGCATGAGAAGGGGGAGGGTCAGAAGGAGAAGGAGACTCCCTGCTGAGCAGGGAGCCCGATGCGGGACTCGATCCCGGGACTCTAGGATCATGACCTGAGCCGAAGGCAGTCGCTTAACCAACTGAGCCACCCAGGCGCCTGCAATAAAATTCTTAAACAAATTATGCAGTGGTTGAGGTCATTATTATGTAAGAATATGGGAGTGTGCACATTTGGAGAAGTGTGCTTTTTAAAGAGGTTTAAATTACAAGAAGATTTTATTTCCCATAAGTAAAACGTAATCGACTCTGCTGCTATTAGTTGCCTTTTGAATATTTTTTTTTTTTGCTTTAAAATATAGGTAAGGCATTTCTTAATCAATCTGAAAAATAGAGAGGCAACATAGAAGTGTCTATTTCTGACCTAGGGACTGCATCTGCTCACTCTTTCAAAGAAATTGAAATGCAGAACTATTTCTTCTCCCATCATTGCACCCCTCCCCACCTTATATAGAATTCAGTGGGAAATAAAAAGGTTTGCTTTTTTTTTTTTCTAGTGTTTTTCTGTAGGCTAAAGAAATGGAAAACTCTGATTCTCTGGAAGCTGTAATTGAACAAGGATTTACAGTCTCCTTTGGCTATTGCTTTCACTCATCTTTCCTCATTGACCATAAGGGTGCCATTTAGTAAATTACTAATTTTATGCATTGCTTGGTCCTCTGGAGGGCTTGACATTCATACTCTAATTTATTATCGAATTCTTAATTTACATCCAAGAATTAAATTACCCATTGGCACATCCATCCATACATAAAGATAATTGCTTACTCTTCCATGTATTATGGAAATTTCAAGTATACAAATTTAGATGTTATGATTGAGGCTAAGTTTTTAAGATCAGAATTAGTATCATCAAGGATGCGTTACCCAAATTCTTAGGACAAGTATGGGAGAAAATAGACTGGTTTCTAAATAACCTATTAAAGTCATTATTATATTTACGTATTAAGTGTCTCTCTAGGACTTTTTAATAAATATTAATTAATGAATATGAATTCCGCCTACATTTAATACGATTTCTCATGCCCACCTCTACTACTAAACAGTAAGACAGCATTGTTTTCTAGAACATAAGTATAAATGACAAGAAGATGATTCCCTTAATTACAAGCACTCCAGATATTTTTAGTACAATGATATCAAAGCTCATTAAAATTGTGATATGGAGCCAAATGAAGAAACTGTTTCTTTTCCATTCAGGAAAAAAAAAAAATTGGTTCCAGAAGGTAGGAGGCATAATTTACGTACAGAATGGCGTATTTATTGACTGTTTGTCTGATGGGTTGAAATTATGCATCTGGAGCAGGTACAGAAGATGATACTGAATGAACAGGCATCCTGTAATGCTTTGTTAGCAAGGCTGAACCACTGCTCGAGGGCCAGTTTCTGTCAGCTGCACTTTTACTTGCTGTATCTTGTTGAGGCTTGTTTTAATGATGCTTTGGGGGCTTCCAGAACTTAATTTTATATGTTAATGTGACATACAGCCGTATATGTTATAGAGCTCCAGAGATGCCCATAGTCAAAAATATCTCCTTTCTATTGCCCTCCTGACTCTCACCTTAGGTATTAAAATGTTAACCAGTCCTCACCAAGGTATTCCCAGATGACTTTTTAGATGAGATCCAAAGTTTTATTTCCATTTTCATATGAGGAATTTGCATGCAATTTAAAAATCCATAAGGCTTATTTAATAATAAAGACTATCTGAAGTACAAGTTTGAAAGCTTTTTTTTTTTTTTTTCTTTTGAAGGTAGGAGAGCTGTAGAATGGATGTTTGTTTTCTAAAGTAAACTTCAAAAACTTGTATACTTTTCAGGTCTCTTTAGAATTCTTCTAACAAAGGTTTTTTGTTGGTATTATTTAAATAACAGAAATCTCAGGATGATTTCACACAATTGTAGTTAGAACATTGATTTTAAAAAGTATCAATAGCTTCTCTCTAGAGACACATGCATTAAAGATTGAAAGGATAATGTAATATCTAGAAAAATTATGAACAGTGCATTAAAATAACTTAAATGTCAGGCCAAACATAATTTCAGTATGATTTTATGTATTTGTTTTTTTTCCTCTCCATTTCACCGCAGTGATTTGATTCAAGATGTCTTAAGGACTCTTGGATGGCAAATGCCACTGAGTGTTATGAATAAAATTTGAAAAGCCACCAAATCCCCATTGTGTATTTTTCCTCACCCAAGAATAGCATGCCTATTAAGTATATTATTTCAAATTTACTCAAATTTCACTTAGCTGTCTTTTACTAATAAACTGCCAGTTTGTTAATGTGATAAAACAAAGATAATTGTATTTTTCTTTCAAAAATGACACAAAGATAGGTTGTGTTATCTACTTTGTATAACATGTATGTAATTATACACTAGGAAATGATATAGAATAAAATAGGTTTCATTTATATATCAAAATATACATATATTTAAGAAAGATCATAGAATATGTAAACAAGGAATAGTCATCATTTGTATGTGTTGATTGGACACTTCATTTACATCACATAGTAGTTTTAAACCAACTTTGTAATGAAAATATTTTGTCAATCTGTCATTTTGGCTGTATTTTCTTTATGCAGAAATCAATGGAAATTTTGTTTTTAATAAACTTAATTTTGTTATGAGACCTTATGAATAGTAAATTCACTTCCTTAGAATTTCACTAAAAATAATTTAAATGTTTTCATCTGAGTCAGTTGTTTTAATGTTTTATCATGTACCTCATCAACTTAGTATTCATCAACTCTCCAAATACTTGTCATTGTGTAGATGCAATCAAAATATCATTCACTCGTTCATTTATTCATTCATCAATGTGACAAATATTTTTGTTGCCAACTCTGAGACAGGCACTAGGTCACTGCAGAAATTTAGGGGTAAATGCTAGTTGCTACCATTTACGAAACTGACAAACAGTAAGAGATCCAGAAGACATACAAAATGATTATGTTGCATTAAAATGGGAATCACAATGTGAGAGGAGTACAGAAAACTACTAGGTTCAGATGGGAAAAGATTGCATGAAGTTGGGGTATCAGGAAAAAAAAAACATGAAGAAGGCAAAAATTGAACTAGACTTTGATAATTGAAAATTGTTAGGAAGAATATCCTAGGTGTGGGAACCAGTATGTATAAATGTGTGGAAGCATGGAGAAATATCTTTAGGACCTGAAGATCATCCAGTATCTGTGAAGATTAACAGAGATAGTGTAGGAAATATGCATTAGGGCTATGTTTAGAAATCTTTATCTTATTATTTTATTGAAGACTTTGCAGGAGACAACACAGTAGAAAAGTACCTTATTTACAGTAATTTGGCTACAGCCGTGTCTAGTTTAGGAAAATAGTTACAGAATGCAGGAACATCAGTTCAGAGGCACTTATAGCAATCCAAATGAAAAATAACAAAGCCTTAATTGAAGAAGCAGTAGAGCTAATGAAAAAGTAGAGATGAATTTTAAGACTTTTATGTTATACAATGCTTGGGATTTGGCCACTAATTTGTTGTGTAGTACACAAGACAAAGACTTTGTACCCAAAGGGGCCAAGGCCTTGCCGGGGTTGTTAACAGAAAAAGAAGTCAACAGATCAAGACTGAAAGTAAAGAGAAATATACTGATTGGTTTTTCACATCTATTTTGTTTGTATGCCAGTGGAATATCCCTATAAAATAAATCTATGAGGAACAAGAGTATAACTGTCAAAAGAATTAAAGCAGAATAGAAGTATTAATTAAATTGATGGAAATGAATGGATTGACAGTAGAGAACCAGAGAAGTTCACATAAATGAAGAGAGGAGCAAGAAGCATCACAAAAGGAGTAGTTAGGGATTTCAGTCCATCATGAATAATTAAAAAATAAGATAAAGTCATGGGGTGACTATGTCATTAGTGAACCTCCAAGGACAGATTTTTTCAGTAACAAGAGCAGGTTGCAAGGACTTTGAAATTAGTAAGTAGTTAAGTAAAACAGGAGAGAATAAGTTTTTGGGAGTGGAGCTGAACTGAGAAGGGTTGCAGGTTGTGGTAAATTTGGTAGTGATCTAAGTGGAGAGTGGAGAAAGATCCTGAAACCAGAGTGGGGCGGGGGGGGGGGGGGAAGATGATAGAGTAAGATACTAAAAGGAGGACACTATTGAATCAGAGAGATATTTTGGGCAATACATCCTGTAAAAAGGCTTCTGAGGTGGCAAAAAAAAAATGAAAGAAAGGAAACAGAAAAGTTCTAGAGTGTGGTGTATGGTAGAGAGAAGTTTTTTGTTTTTTTTTTTTTTAAATGGATTTGGATGGCTTCTGACTTCTCAGTGAAATCTGGGCAAGACTGAGAGATACTGGTGGCGGAAATATGATTCATCCAAAAGAAGGATTGGTGTTTTCTCATGCTACTAGTGTAAAAATCAGTTAGGGCTGCAATCATTTCAATTGCATTTCATGCTTCTGGGTTGCATGTGATTCAACGCTTAGAGATGTGGCTAATTGTAGCTTACTCTGTTCCAGGAGGTGTGGTTACAGCAAAGCAAAACAAGATCCAGAAGAGGAAAAGATGCATTTTCATAATGGGCACAGTAAGCAAATTGTAAAAAATCAAGAGAAAACAAAATAGAGATTTTATTATTATTTTTGTTTATTTTCAGACAAGGAGATTTATAATAACTGACCAAAATATTGTGTCTAAAAGTTTAAAAAGAATGTAAATGCTCTGTTACGTTCCTGTAAAGCATATGGGCTAAAGGGCATTGCTGCCTGACTCTAGACAACAGCTAGATGGTTTATTCAATTTTTTAAAGAACACCTTTATTATAGTTATTAAAAAAAAAACCTTTTCAATCATTATAAAAAGCTGTTACATTTCAAACCAAATTTCCAGACCAATTCTAATTTCTTCCAGCACAGTCAGTAGAAATTTATTGTTAAATAACAACATCAGATGAAACAAATAAAATTTCTCAGTATTTTTTCTCCTTTTTCTAGCATTATAGCAGGAATTTCCATGAGCAGATCCTGTAGCAACAACCTTCGTTCAATGATTTGAAAAAGACTATTCTTTTTAAAAATACAGAAAATCAAGTTTTGATAACATGCTTTAAAAATTAGCCTAAATGAGTCTAATTAATGGGGTTTTAATATGTGCATTTTTTCATAAATAGTATAGTGTTAGTTGATTTGCTAAGTAAATAAAAGTAATTTCTTTTTTGTCACTCTCCTGTTACCATAAAAGTCAAATAATTAAAGCCATAATTCATGTTGCAAAGCATTGGATCTATTTTCATAGGTCCTATCTTATTTAATGGTATTTATCCTTAAAAAAAAAATCTTGTGAAATTGGTAGTCATTAAATGTGATGAAACTGAGGCTCATAGAAACTTAGAGTATTGGATAAAGCCATGTAGTAACAGGAGTAGAGTGAGAGGTAGAACTTATCTTTTTCTTTTGACTTATGTGTCAAAAGCACCAGAAAAATTATTTTAAATTATTTTTTGTAAAACCAAAATTCATCTGTGATGGCATTTTAAGTGAAACAGAATAACAAAACAACAAGTAACTCACTAGCATTTCATTGGCCAGTTTAGTAAACAAGCTTATCTTAGTTTGCCTCAGAGACTGACTCTGTGAACATTATTGTTGAAAGATATATCTATTCAAATATGTTGTCATATATGCATTTCTTTTACATGACAACAATCCAGATTTCTAAAATTATAAAAATGACATAGCTATATAAATGACTCCTATAACTCAGAAGAGGGGCTGTCCTTGCAACTTGGCCATTTCTAGCAATTAGGGATTTAAGCCATAGTTGCATGTTAATAATGTTTATGATTTCATTCATCCATCACAAGCAGTTATATTTTAACGAATATTTATTTTTCCAGTTAAACTGCCAGGAGTAAGAACTTATATTGATCCACACACCTATGAGGATCCCAATCAAGCTGTCCATGAATTTGCCAAGGAGATAGAAGCTTCATGCATCACCATTGAAAGAGTTATTGGAGCAGGTACAACAGTGTGTTTAACTCAGACTTTTATTTATTTTTATTTTTTTATTTAAAATTTAGGTAGTTAATATACAGTGCAATATTTGTTTCTGGATTAGAATTCAGTGATCCATCACTTACATACAATGCCCAGTGCTCATCCTAACAAGTGCCCTCCTTAGTACTCATCTCCCATCTAGCTCATCCCCCACCCACCTCCCTCCATCAACCTTCAGTTTGCTTTCTATCCTTAAGAGTCTCTTACGGCGGGGCACCTGGGTGGCTCAGTTGGTTAAGCGTCTGCCTTCGGCTCAGGTCATGATCTTGGAGTCCCAGGATAGAGCTCTGCTTCAGACTCCCTGCTTAACAGGGAGTCTGCTTCTCCCTCTGCCCCTCACCCTGCTCATGTTCTCTCTCTCTCTCTCTTACTCTCTCTGTCTCTCTCTCAAATAAATAAATAAAATGTTTTTAAAAAGACAGTCTCTTATGGCTGGTTTCCCTCTCTCCTTTTTTTTCCCTTGTCCCCTTTCCCATATGTTCATCTGTTTTCTTTCTTAAATTCCACATATAAGTGAGATCATATGGTATTTCTCTTTCTCTGACTGACTTATTTCACATAGTGTAATACATTCTAGCTCCATCCATGTCATTGCAAATGGCAAGATTCCATTTTTTTTGATAGTTGAGTAATATTCCATTATATATTTGTCTATATATATATATATATATCCTTTACATCTTCTTTATCCATTCATCAGTCAGTGGACATTTGGGCTCTCTCCATAGTTTGGCTACGTTGATAATGCTGCTATAAACATCAAAGTGCATGTATCCTTTTGAATCTGTTTGAATCTGTATTTTTTTTTTTTAATCCTTTGGGTAAATACCTAGTATTACAATTGCTGGATTGTAGGGTAGTTCTATTTTTAACATTTTGAGGAACCGCCACTGTTCTTCAGAATGGCTGCACCAGTTTGCATTCCCACCAACAGTGCAATACAGTTCTCCTTTCTCTGCATCCTCATCAACACCTGTTATTTCTTCTGTTGTTAATTTTAGCCATCCTGAGAGGTGTGAGGTGGTATCTCATTGTGGTTTTGATTTGTATTTCCCTGATTATGAGTAATGTTGAGCATCTTTTCACGTGTCTATTAGCCATTCTGGATGTCTTCTTTGGAAAAGTGTCTATTCATGTCTTCTGCCCATTTCTTAACTGGGTTATTTGTTTGTTGGGTGTTGAGTTTGTTAAGTTCTTTGTAAATTTTGGGTACTAACCCTTTATCAGATATGTCATTTGAAAATATCTTCTCCCATTCCATAGGCTGCCTTTTAGTTTTGTTGTTTCTTTTGCTGTGCAGAAGCTTTTTAACTTGATGAAGTCCCAATAGCTCATTTTTGCTTTTGTTTCCTTTGCCTGTGGTGACATGTCTAGTAAGAACTTCTTCCTGCCAAAGTCAAAGAGGTTTCTGCCTGTGTTTTCCTCTAAGACTTTGATGGTTTCCTGTCTCACATGAAGATTTTTCATCCATTTTGAATTTATTTTTGTGTATAGTATCAGAAAGTGGTCCAGTTTCATTCTTCTTCATGTGACTATCCAATTTTCCCAACACCATTTGTTGAAGAGACTATTTTTTTTCCATTGGATATTCTTCCCTGCTTTGTCAAAGATTGTTGACCATAGAGTTGTGAGTCCATTTCTGGGTTTTCTATTCTGTTCCATTGATCTATGTGTCTGTTTTTGTGCAGGTACCATACTATCTTGATCACTACAGCTTTGTAAAATAGCTTGAAGTCCGGAAATGTGATGCCTCCAGTTTTGTTTTTCTTTTTCAGAATTGCTTTGGCTATTCTAGGTCTTCTGTGGTTCCATACAAATTTTAGGATTATTTGTTCTAGTTCTGTGAAAGATTTTTTTGGTATTGTGATAAGGATTGCAATAAATCTGCAGATTGCTTTGGGTAGTGTAGACATTTTAACAATATTTGTTCTTCCAATCCATGAGCATGGAATGCTTTTCGATTTCTTTGTGTCCTCTTAACTTTCTTTCATAAGTGTTCTGTAGTTATTAAAATACAGATCTTTTACTTCTTTAGTTAGATTTATTCCTAACTATGGGATTTATTCCTAGGATACTATTCCTAGGTATCTTATTGTTTTTGATGCAACTGCAAATGGGATTGATTCTTTGGTTTCTTTTTCTGCTGCTTTGTTATTGGTGTATAGATATGCAATGGATTTCTGCACATTGATTTTATATCCTGCAACTTTGTTGAATTCATGTATGAGTTCTAGGAATTTTTTGGTGGAGTCTTTTGGGTTGTTTATAGAGTATCATGTCATCTGCAAATAATGGAAGTTTGACATCTTCCTTGCCTTTCTTTTTTGTTGTCTGATTGTTGAGGCTAAGACTTCCAGTACGGTGTTAAATAGTAATGGTGAGAGTGGACATCCATTTCCCCATTGAGGATATATTAGCTGTGGGTCTTTTGTATATGGCCTTATGATATTGAGGTATGTTCCATCTATCCCTATTTTGTTGAGGGTTTGTATCAGGAAAGGATGCTATATTTTGTCCAATGCTTTTTCTGCATCTATCGACTGGATCATATAGTTCTTATCCTTTCTTTTATTAATGTGGTGTATCATGTTGATTGATTTGTGGATATTGAACCACCCCTGTAGAGTTTCAATCAGTTGCATTTAATTTCTTTCTAATGTTTTCATTAAGGTTTTTGTAGGTGAGATGGATGAAGCTAAAAGCCCCCAGAGTGTTTTATGATCACGTATAGACGCTTTTTCCCCCAAACACCACTTATTCTCTTACTACTGATAATGAAGTTTGGACTCGCCTTTTAATAATGTTTTGTCTAAACCTTAGTATTCTAGGAGGACTTTAGCATATTATTAGAGTAAGGATTGAAATGAGTTTGTGTGTTTTTCCATCTTTATGACAAGGTGAATTTGGTGAAGTTTGTAGTGGACGTTTGAAACTTCCAGGAAAAAGAGAATTACCTGTGGCAATCAAAACCCTGAAAGTAGGCTACACAGAAAAGCAACGCCGAGATTTCCTGGGTGAAGCAAGTATCATGGGGCAGTTTGATCATCCTAACATCATTCACTTAGAAGGTGTTGTGACCAAAAGTAAGTACAGTAGAAATTATATGTGTGTGTGTATCATGAAAATCTGAGTGTCTTCTAATAGGTTATTATTAATTTCAGGATAAAAAGAAAAGTAGCCACAGTAATGTTATTAAAATTTTCTTTAATATTAATAATAATTGCCTTGTATTTTAGTAGATTCTTGTCCAAGCTAATCTTTAATAGAACCTGAATTTCTATTTAGTGTTTCAAAACATATGTATTTACTCATTTACAATGAATTCACTGCCAGAGAAAATGTATCCAGATAAAAGAAGCAGTAAAGGTATCAACATTTTTTTTTCTTCTGGCTCTTTCACTTTTATCCTAATAAAATATTAACTTCAACGTTTTGACTGAGGCATTGAAGTTTAACATTTAATAGGATCACTATAATCATATGTGTCCTGCCACCTTTTAAACTGGTCTTTATAGACAGATGTATTTCTTTTAATCATTTTTTAATTGAGATATTTTAATAATTTTAGGGAAAGCAGTCACAGAAGACTGGAAAAATTCCTTGAGATTAATTATTTTCTTAAAGAAAATTTAATTTTTACTCAAAAATATCTGGATTTTCACATCTTTTTTAAATTTGTATTTATGTCTTATAAATGTGACTATATGACGAGCTTCCTAACATAAAGAGTTCACGTAATTTTTCAGTCATCCAATAAAGTATTTTTGGGTCACATGACTGAGGTCTTTATTTAAATTCATTTTTGCTTTGACATTTCTATGTATTCTCATTCCTTCCTTTGTCTTCATAATCTACTCACCATTTTCTAAATCATCTAAAAATTTAGCAAGGAACATTCTTTAGACTTGCTTTCAATCATCTATTCACCTTCTAGTTGCTATTAATCAAATTTTAAATTATATATGCCAAATATGCATACCAGCAATATGTATTCAATAAATGCCATCAATCTACTAAGTCATTTCAAATGATTAGATATCCACTTATGCCACTTATTGACATAAGTAGATTGAATACCCACTTATTTAGCTTTTAAATATGGAAAACAAAATAGTAACAATAAAAACACAACTTTTTCACAATATAGACAAAAGAAGCAAGTCAAAATATTTGCCTGGTATATAACAAATTAATTCCCAAATCATGATTTATTCACAAGTCACAGATGAGAAGGTAGTTGCCCCTTAAAAGCCCTAAAATAGATCACAGCAAAAGTATCATGTTGTTGATTGGCTGAACTTTTGAATCAGCTTATATTGCTAGATTGTTTTTTCCCACCTTCCAAAGAGATACACATTTCCAGTAAGAATTCTCATAGAGGAATGTAGCATAGGAATAAAATAACCTGCAGACATGGGTTTTTTTTTCAAAACTTAAATGTGTTTATTCCTCCAGTTGCATACTTTATTACCCCCTTGACAGTAACCCAAAGAGGGTATTGCTGGAACAAGGAGGACATCCTTAAGTGTTATCAGAACAAATAAGTTCCTAAAGAAAGGTGAGAGGCAGGGACAATAGAAAGAAAAGTAGAGAACAAGGAAAAATATGTTTTTTTAGTAATGTAAGAAATTAAAATATTTTACAAAAATTATACCCAATAATGAAAGAGCAGGAATGTTTGAGATAAGAATATGATGTGAAAAAGATGGTCACTGGTATAATAAAATGAAATCAGAATTTGAACGTGACTACATTTCATCTGAAAGGAAGGTCTTAAAAGGACATCAGTGATAACTTGTGATGCTAGATACTATAGGAACAAGAATTATAACAATTATTGATTACTGTTATTTCCTATGCAGTAATGAATACTATATAATATAAAACATAGTTCTTAATTATAGTCATGTAATAATAGTGGGCAAATATTTGATACATTTAATTTCTTCATCTCATCCTTAATATGGCGTCCTCCAAAAAATTTAACTTCCTCAAATAAACTCTGACCATACTTCTTATTACCCAGGGTAAATGTGAAGCTCTGTAGGCAGCCAGTTTACCTTCTGTAATGAGTTCAGATGTAATGTTGAGAACAGTGCCAGATCACAATTATTATTATGGAAGACAGTATTGTAATTTTGGTTCTGCCATAAGCTATGTGACTTTGAACAAGTTAGTTGAACATTCAGAAATGTAGTTTCTTCGCCAGTCACATGGATTAAGAATAGATAGTGATGTTGGGAAGGGGACATGAATTAATACAGGTAAAGTTTAGAATGGACATGGCAAAGAATAGGTACTAAAACAATATATAGTTATTACTTTCCTGTTTTATCTCTTCCTGTGCTCTGAGTTCCTTCACATGCATTGTTTTTTAGTCCATTTTAACATGCTTGATATTTTGACCTACCTACATTTCCTCTTCCTCTGAAACTTACACCCTCCTATTCACTACCTTTTCAGTTCCTTCAAAACTCTGTTCAAATCACATCACATTCATGAAACAATCCCTCATCACTTCACCCTAAAATAATCCCTTCTTCTTTTGAACCCTGTGTCAAAGTACAGATTTTTGCAGTTGTCTGTAATGATCTTTCCTTTGGCCAAAACTTTTATTCAAATCTTTCATTTAATTTTGTCCCTTTTGCATATATTTTTAACTCCTTAGCTAAAAAAAAAAAAAAAAAGTCTGCTCCTTGAAGACAAAGGCAGTGTCCTAAATATTTATGTAAGCCTATTATACCTAAAGTTAACCCAAACTGCATGGTCAGTTAAACATTTTGAGCCTCAATATCACCAAAAAAGGAGGAAATCGTACCTAACTTGTAAGATGGTTGTGCAGATTAAATTAAGATATATTTGTGTATATGTGTGTATGTGTGAATAAAACTGCAGGTAATTAAAGTAGTGAATAAATATTTATTTTAATCTAAGTGAATGCATCAGATACTAGTGGACAACACCCCAGAATTATCACAATGAATATATTCACTGACTTTTATAAACTCCTGATTTATTATAGAACTTGTTTAATGTGAATGGGTCCTGACTGAGACAAACTAAGACAACTGAATTTCTCATATTAAGTTAACTAAATTTGTCATATATTTTATATGCACTTGAAACCTTTATCAACAAGTGATCATATCTGAATTTTGTAAATTTTAGTCTAAAAAAATAGTACTGCAGTTGGGAATACAGATTTGAAATTTCCAATCTCCTAATCAAATATTCTATTTGATGTTGCTGCCATGAAACTACACATATACATAAAGCAAATTGAAAATATTTAAAATATTTCTGTCCTATTTTTTGTTCTATGCGAACTCAAACTGCATTTCCCCTTAATAAATGTACCTCTTGATGTTCAGCCCAGGAAGTCTTCAGCTTGTTTTTAATTTACCATGTTGCAACTCACTTTATTTGTGTCCTTAATTTCATGCTCTCTGATCTGATGCTAATTTATTCAACAATTATTCTCAACCTGCAGCACACAGATAATGAGACATAAGGGCAACTAAATCTCGTGATTTTTCTGATTGAAGCTGAGGTAGGGAGTCTGAAGTCGTAATCCTATGGGTGGTGCCATTGTGAACCTTCATCTTTCTCGTATCACTGCCCTATGTGCCAGAAACATGGGCCCGAATTCAAATTCCTTCTGTGATGTGTTGTTAAACAGGGCATATCAGAAATAGTTATATATTCTAGAGAGACTTCATGACAAATGCTGTAAAAAACCCACAGGTCCTGGCTTAATTGACTCATTCGCAATGCAAGGTACTTTAATGTAATATATACAGTGCCAACTTTTACTATTTGAAGAGATTCAAAATTAAAGTTAAAATAGGAAAAATAATTTTCCCATTGCAGTATCTTCAGTTCTTTAAGATTTATCTTTCCCCACTTGTGGAAATTATTATCAAAACTGACTAAAGGAATACTTCTATTGAGTCTTAAAATGATTCATAGTTATATTTCTTAATCTAGGATCATGTACAAATAAATTTAGTTCTTTTGTAAAATTAATAAATTTAAGCAAAATATTAGAAGAACATTAGAGGAATCTCTCCCTATTTCTTTTTATTTCTATGTCTGAGGAGATAGCACATTCAATGACAACTGATTGTTTAAATTGTCAGACAATTCTGACTTATTAAATAAATTTGCAATTACCTTTCAAATAGAGTATTTCTTTTTTTTTTATTTTTTATTCTTATGTTAATCCCCATACATTACATCATTAGTTTTAGATGAAGTGTTCCATGATTCATTGTTTGTGCATAA